ATCCCTTCTCCTCATTTTCTGCAATGCTCCAAAAAAGGAGCAACTCCTGACAAGGTGTGGGAAATTGATGTCTTCATCTTCAGAGCAGACTGTAGGTCTTCGGGGTGCAGTAAAGGCACAGGGGGAGCTGAGGGGCATGTGGCCTCAGTCAGGGAACTCGCAGACTGCCAAAAAGGAGGAGGAGCAGGTGACGTCATTCCAGGTGCCATCCAACAGCATCTGCACACAGTGTTCCCCAGAGCCAGCGTTGTTGGGCTCACCCTTGTTCCAGTTTCCGTAGGTCACTCTCCTCCCTGCCATATCCACAAACTGGCCTTCTTTCTCCTTATCTGTTATGCCTAGGAAGGCGGAATCTTTGACCAAACTCTGGATGGCCTGATTCTCTTCAGCGTTCAAGGGGGTGGCCATGGAGGCTTGGAATTGGGCACACAGAGCCTTAGCGCTGTCAAAATTTCTTGTTTCACCACTGTTCCAGAAGAACTTCTTTCCAGCTTTTTTGGTGACAGACAACAATAGCACTAAAATGGGAAAAAGTAGATAAAACTAGCTTGTTTTAAACTCCTGCCCGCTGTATGTTTAGGAGTAAAGGTTTCCACAGTAGACTTGTCAGATAAAATAAACTTAAATTCAAATTAAACAAGTATATTCTGTTTTTATTAATTCTCACAACCTTGAAAGGAAGGGACACCCTGGCACACTGGATCAGAAGTCTAGAACACATATAACTTGGAATTCTGAATTCTACCACACCATTGACTGGAGACTAAACAGAAACGTCTCAGCATATATGGCCCTAGTCAGAAAGAACAAGTTTGGTCCCATTGCCAGGTCTAGAAACCAGCATAACAAAGGGGCATAGATACCATTTCCAGAGAGAAAAGATCAGAATCCAGGATTATAGTCTCCTAAGTTCAACTGACTTCAGTTGATAAACCAATTTTACTACTTACAAGTTTTATTGTGCATTTGAATGAGAAATTTAAATTCCTTTTGCCTTCATGTCTACTTGAGGGGGCTTGTGAAGACTTTTTGATACTAGAATAAAAGAAATGTCTACCCAGGTACTAGAAAATTATATATATTAAATAAATATTCACTGACTTTCACCAGTCCCTCACTTTAAGGTGTTTAAAGAACAAGAGAGAAAACTTACACTTTTTGATGCTTTCCAATTCTGCTTTGAGAGCTGCTCTTTCAGAAGCAGCTCTGCTAGTGTCACATGCTAGAAAATAAAAACAGAACAAAGGGGCATTGTTGAGAAGGAGTCCCAGAACTGTACACATAAGGAGGTGGGTACCTTTTTTAAAATAGTTTCTTTTACATTGATGTATAAACATTGAAGGAAGATAAAAAGTATTAAGAAGCAAAAAGAAGAAAAATACCTCCATTTCCACACAGTCCGAAACACCAGTCTCCATCTGATGACTGTTCTAAAGACACCTTTATACACCTATGCACACATGCACTCCCTGGATACCTCACATGACAGAAATCTGCAGCCAAAGCTCTTCACTACATTTTCCCCCAATAAGTTGCTAAAACAAACCTCAAAGGCAAAAAGAAACCTTTGAAGGAATTTTTATTATTTGAGTAAGGAGATTCTGAGGCAAGTTGTGTTTCATTGATGACAAAAAATAGTAGCTTCTATCATAAAAAAA